GGGGTCACCAAAAAGGGTATTCCTGAGTCCAGTGATCTCATTATTCAAACCCCATTTGTGAGGGAGAGCACTGCAATGCTTCGCTCTTGAGTGTATTCATATCTATGAGTTTATAATTATTAAAAAGCTAACAGTATTTGAGAGATGTGAAACAGGGTCCATCTTCCTTACACCTGAAACCTCTCCATGATAGGCCCCGGTGTGTGATGTTCCCCTTCCCGAGTCCAAGTGATCTCATTGTTCAGTTCCCACCTATGAGTGAGAACATGCGGTGTTTGGTTTTCTGTTCTTGTGAGATAGCATCTCACACCAGTTAGAATGGTAATCATTAAAAAGTCAGGAAACAACAGGTGCTGGAGAGGATGTGGAGAAATAGGAACACTTTTACACTGTTGGTGGGATTGTAAACTAGTTCAACCATTATGGAAAACAGTATGGTGATTCCTCAAGGATCTAGAACTAGAAGTAACATATGACCCAGCCATCCCATTACTGGGGATATACCCAAAGGATTATAAATCATGCTGCTATAAAGACACATGCACATGTATGTTTATTGCGGCACTATTCACAATAGCAAAGACTTGGAATCAACCCAAATGTCTATCAGTGACAGACTGGATTAAGAAAATGTGGCACATATACACCATGGAATACTATGCAGCCATAAAAAAGGATGAGTTTGTGTCCTTTGTAGGGACATGGATGCAGCTGGAAACCGTCATTCTCAGCAAACTATCGCAAGAAACCAAACACTGCATGTTCTCACTCATAGGTGGGAACTGAACAATGAGATCTCTTAGACTTGGGAAGGGGAACATCACACACTAGGGCCTATCATGAGGAGGGGGGAGGAGAGAGGGATTGCACTGGGAGTTATACCTGATGTAAATGACGAGTTGATGGGTGCTGACGAGTTGATGGGTGCAGCACACCAACATGGCACAAGTATACGTATGTAACAAACCTGCACGTTATGCACATGTACCTTAGAACTTAAAGTAGAATAATAATAATAAAAAAAAATAAATAAATAAAAAGTAGAGATGGAGAAGTCTTCTCTCATCCCAATCACTTGGTTCCTCCCCTCTACTAGGTAACCCCTTTTATTTATTTTCTATATATCTATTTTGATGTTGCATTTCTTCATGCAGATATAAGCAGTATGTTTTCCTGTTTTCTTGCACTAGAGAGGCAGCACACTATGAATCATATTGTGTCTATTGTTTGTTTCATTTAGTAAAGCTGGAGATCATTATGAAGGTATTAGCACGGCATATTTAACAGTCTCTTTACTCTCCAAGTAAACAAATATAACAATTGTTTCTAGTCTTTTGCTATTGCAATCTATGCTGCAATAAATACCCTTACATACATATCATTTCACATGTGTTATCATTTCATATGTGTCTCCTCTAAAATTCAGGTGTTGCCAAATAGGCCATGAAGGCTCCTCCATCATTAATGGGATTAAGGCCCTTATAAAAGAGGCTTCATGCAGCATTTGGCTAGCCTGCTTTCGTGGCCTTCTGCCTTCTTCTTTTCATGGCCTTCATGCAGCAATAAGGCCCACACCAGACACCAAATGCCAGCTCCTTGATCTCAGATTTCTCAGAGTGAGAAAGTAAATGTCTGTTCTTTGTAAACTACCCAGTATCAGATATTCTGTTATAGCAGCACAAAACAGACTAAGACAATATGTGTGCAGGTGTATGTGTAGGATTAATTACCAGAAGTATGATTGCTAGCTTAAAGAGTAAATATACTTATAATTTTGAAACATATTTCCACAGTCCCACTGATAGGAGTTGCCTAATTTTGTACTTTTGTTAGCAATACACGAGAAGACCCTTACCCCAATATGTGTTATTAAGGACTTGGATTTTAGCCAATATGATAGGTGTGCAGTTTAAGTTTGCATTTTTCTTGTCATGAGTGAGACAGTATATTTTTCATTGTATAAAAGCCATTTTTGTTCCTTTCTGTGTGAACTGCCCCTGTCCTTTGCCCATTTTCTACTGGGTTTTTGGTTATTTCCCCCAAGGAATACTCTTGGTTACTCCTCCAAGAGTAATTTATACTTTAGGGGGTTGTTTCTATATGACATCAATATGAACTATTCTTCGATTTTGCCATTTGTCTTTGCTTATTGTGGTTTTTTTTTTCTTTTTTTGCAATGCATAATTTAGGGTTTTTATGTAGTTGAATTGATCAATCTTTCCTATTACAACTAGGGCATTTTGAGTCATAGTTGGAAAACCTTTCTCCCACTCTAAGATTATAAAGGAATCTGGTCATGTTTTATTCTAATACTTTGACATTTTTTTCACGTTTCAATCTTGGATTCATTTGTAGCCTAGAGCACTATCATCTACCAGACTAAAAAAGAATATTGATGAGTAGATTCTAAACATTTCTCCCCATATTAGATCTTTCTTTTTTTTTTTTTTTTTTTTTGAGACGGAGTCTTGCTCTGTCGCCCAGGCTGGAGTGCAGTGGCCGGATCTCAGCTCACTGCAAGCTCCGCCTCCCGGGTTTACGCCATTCTCCTGCCTCAGCCTCCCGAGTAGCTAGATCTTTCTTTAAATACAATCTTGCCCCATATATAAGACAGATGGAAGGAGAGCTGCCCTGAAGGTGCAGCAGAGATGCTCTTGTGAGTCGCAACCTCCCCAGACTCCATGGATCTCCATGGAATCCTTAGGATGGTTGTAAGCAGAGTGAAGACCACAGATATCTGCAGAACAACAACCAGGCCAAAAAGTTTGATGAGAAAAAAGTTAAAAGAAGGACTTTCTGGTTTGTCTTGATGTTTGCCATTCAGTGTTTGTTGAGGAGGAAATAAGACAAGACTGGAGAGGCCTCATAAGTCCCTTTCAGCAGGGGCTCATCTTTCTCATCAACAGTTCCCTTTTGCTGAGTTCATACGTTCAAGTGAAAAATTCCTCATGATTCTACTATGATCTGATTGGTGTAGCGGAGAATGCGTGGATCTTGGTATCACATATGAGTTCTAATCCTGAACACTTACTAGCTGTGCAGCCTCTGGCAAGTCATTTCTGTTTCACAATGAGTAGTTCATCCATAGTAAATAATTGAGTACTTTGTATATGGAAGACACTGTGCTAATTGATGGAGATACAAAAACGGAGAAGATAGAAATGGTATTACCTTACAGCATGGAGGTGGAGCCACATGGTATAACAAATAACTATTGTAATTATTTAGATTGTGATTGTCACAACATCTTCAACAGAGTAGGGGTCCTGTGGACATGAAGAATAGGGAGGTTCAGGCTTGCTAGTTTAGGGAAGCTGGCCACCAGGTTCAGGTTTGACAGGTGCATAGGAAATGGCATGGCAGAGGGAGGCCAGAGCCTTTTAGGCAAAAGGAAGAGCAAATGCTTATTAGACCCCAAGGCTGTAGGAGCTAGACACGTTTGACCACCAAAAGGAAGGACAATATAGACACCATCAACATCACCGTGGTGTCTGTGTGGAGAATGGATTGTATGTGTGTGGTGTGTGAGGGGCAACAGTGGATTAGGGGACATGGGTTAGGAGCTACCAGCAGTCTGGGCAACACACTAGCGGCCTGGGAAACAGTCGTGGCAGTGGAAAGTTGACAGATTGGTAAGGGACACAGACCTGTTCACAAAAATTCCTAGGTTTCTGGGTGAGCTATGGCCAGGTGGATGTCCACACCACTACTGAGATGGTGAATTCTGAACAGGAGGAAGTTTGGAGAAAAATCTCAACATTTCGGCAGGACAGCACCTCCTGGTGGAGATAACAAGCGGGAGCCTCACCACAGGCCTGGTTGTGGGAGTGAAATGGGGACTCCTGGCGCTGTTGGTCGGGTGCACTTACTGTACTAAGACAGTGAGGCCCGGCGGAGGCGGCAATGGCAGACCTGGTTTCTCGGTGCAGTCCCAGTGGGAGGCTCGGTGTCCAAAATCCTCAACTAGATTGGGCATGCCGTTTATCTTGTTACAACTGTTGACAGTAATGGCACTAGCAATAATGTGCTTCCCAGGCGAAGATGGTTTTTCTTCTGTGTTTTCAGCCACTGCAGAGTGGACATCTACTATGAACCAAGTATCTGCGGCTTTAGGTACCAGATTCAAACACGGGATGTTGGCAGAACAGGGACTAGGACGGAGAGAAAACCTGAAGATGGATCAACCAGAAAGCAATGCATTTTCACAGAGGCACAAAAAAGTGCCTCTGAAGCAGAAGATTCACCTCCACTTCTGCGTCCTTTTGAAGCAACTTTCTGAGCATCCTTTCCTCCTCTGCAGGCCGACGCTTTTTCACCTTGTTAAACTACCTGGTAGCTTTCTCCATGGGAGGCGCCTTCCTCACAGTCCTCGGACCCAGTCAGACTCGTGGCCTTCCCCGGCTTCTGCTGGGTCGACTGTGTTCGGCGCCGCACGGTCTCAGACCCACTTCTCTCACGCCCTGAGGAGCGGCGGGCCCCGCGGAGCCCCTGTGCGCCCCGGCGAAACGTGTCAGGAACGCAATCTCCCGCCCCCCTCAGATTCTGGCACCCCGTAGCCTTTCCGCAGGCTCCACGAGTTCTCCTGTTGATGTGATGACCAACATGCAGTTCGGGCTCTGGACACTTAGACTTTAGTCCTTACCCCCGGCCCCCAAACATGGGGAAACCACACCCTCTCTGCTCCAGTCACCAGCAGCCACTCCCATTCCTTAAGTATCCATTATTGCATGTGTAGCCTACTTTTCTGGTTTTCATTTTTATTTAAGGTCAGTTGTTGCCTGACAACACAAACGAAAGTAACTGAATTCGAAAGACAACACTTGGAGGCGGCCCCCACTCCAGGCGCCAGCACAGCAGCTCTCCCGAACTCCCCAGGAGCTCGCGGTCGAACGCCACAGCCCAGAGCGCACCCCGTAGACCCCACCAGCCCCGGGGGAGGAAGCTCTCCCCTCCGCGCTGCACTCCTTCCGGGCTCTGGGCCCAACCAGGCAGTCCCGGAGAAGCCCTGCCCCCCGCCGAAGCCCCGCCCTGCGCCCGAGCGCCCGCCAATGGCAGCGCGCGGTGCGGCGCGCCGAGGTGGGACGGCGGCGCGCTGAGGGGGCGGTACGCTCAGGCTTCGCTTCTGGAGATGCCCCGCGGCTGGCGCGCTGGAGCTTCGAAGGTAGGCTCTGGGTTGGGAGTGGGTGCCGTGCCGTTTCCCGCGTTGCGGGCAAGCGGCGGGCCGGCGCGGGGCCGGCCCAGGGCTGCTGGGTTGAGAGAGGGTGGGCGTTGGGGGTGGAGGGCTAGGTGGTGGCGGGTCCCGTCTGCGCGCGTGGAGCGAGCCAGCGCAGCGGGGTGCCGCCCCCAGGTCCGGGTCTGGTCCTGGTGTGCGGGCCGGGCCCTCAGCCGCAGTACGGAAGGCGAGGGGTGGGGCCGCCGAGGGACGCAGCGGGCGGGAGCGTGTGTCCGCCTCCGGGATACTTGGCTTTACTTTTGTCTGTTTTTGATTCTGGTGTACTGCACCAAACAGCAGGTAATCCTGGCATGGCTTTGCCAGTCTCCCCGGATAATCCCCTGTCAACTGCCTTTCTTTCTGCAGCACTGGGAGGGGACTGTGCGTCTGACCGCCCAGTTCTTGAACACCGCGCTGCCTCGGGGTCCAGAACGAGCGCGGGTGCCTAGGAATCGTTGGGTGAATGGTGTTTAATTGCACCTGTATCCGCCAGTGCATCCTTTTTTGTTCTGCTAATTGTGCTTGTTCTGGCATGTGTCCTTTATCGTTTTAAAGTTCCTTCTAACTTCCTTGCTTTCAAATACGTTTGTCTCATAGTAAAACAGTTTTTAAAAAGCAAACACGGGACCTCCTTTCTTGACTCTTCCCTTTACTCGAAAACTTCTGAAAAAAATAGTCCACATATACGGGTTCAACTTTACCACTACCATGCTTTTTTGCTTCTCAAATACCATTTATTGTCAGCCCACACCATCAATTTTGTGACTGGCTTTAGGGAATAAAGAAATTCATTTCAGGCACCTCTGTTGATTATAAGATACAGCCTGATTTCAGAAGTATTAATGTATGAAAAGAAATCAAGGAAATACATCAATTTGCTAAATCCAGTGTAAGTTATTTATTGGTCGTTGAAGCATTTGACACATTGACCACCTGCTTTTATTTCTTTTGGAACATCCCTGATGTTGCTACCCTGATTGTCTTCCTGTCTTGCAACAGCTTATTTTCTTCTCTTTACTGTGTTCGTGCCATGTTCTAATTTTTGACCTTGTGCTGCTTCTCATTTTCCACATTTGCTTTGGGCAATATCATACATTGAAGTTAATTGTCATTGCTGTATAGATGACTTTCAGATCTATATTAGATCTTTCCCTAGAGCTCAAACTTGGTGTATCTCAAAATCATCATCTCACCCTTAGTCCTCCAGGCCCTAACAGTTTCTCTTGACTCAGAAATCTTAGTATTTTTGAATTGACGTTCATTTCTGGTCTCTTCATCTTGTCGTTTTTCAAGACTCTTATCAAATTTTTTTAGTAGTCGTACAGTTGTCTATTGTGTAATACATTGCTGAAAACTGAAGCAGTTCATAACAAATATTTATTATATCATAGAGTTTCTGAGAGTCAGGAATCTGAGAACGGCTCAACTATGTGGTTGTAGTTCAGGATCTCCCACAAGGCTGCAGTCAAATAAAGGGTCATTGGAGCTGGAGAATACAGTTCCAAGCTCACTCACATGGTTGTTTCTTGATAGCTCCATAGGGCAGCTTAAAACAGGGTCCTGGCTTTCCCAAGAGCAAGAGAGAGAGCATCAAGATATTCGCCCCTCTGTCTTTTATAGCCTAATCTCAGAAGTGACATCTCATCTGCTGTCTATTCATTGCATGGACCAACCCGGTACAATGTATGAGGAGACTATAGAGGATCCCCAGGAGCTGGGGATCACAGGGCCCACCTTGGAGGCTGGCTTCCACAGTATTTCCCAGGAATTTATTTTTTGTTTTTGTCTCCCTTGGTCAGTCTCAAAGGACTTTAATGGTTGGAGTGTTGCTGTGTGGTGCCAGCTAGCATGCTCCCATTCCATCTTCAGAGGTGACTTTCCCTTAGGCACTACTTTGATTATATTGTTAGTCTTCTACCTAAATCTCGTTTTACTTATTGGCTACATCATAGTTTATTGCAGACTTACCCTGTGTTTAGTGCTTTATATGTATTAACTAATTTATTTTAACAGTCCTGTGAGGTAGATACCATTAGTCTTGTTTTATGGATGAGGTAACTGTGGCTCAGCAGAGAGGCTAATTTGCCTAAGGTCACAGAGCAGTTAAGGGAAGAAGCTAGGATTTATATTAAGCTAGTCTGCCCCAGACCTTGCTTTTGTTCAGGCTCTCAGCCTGCTTTTCACAGCCTCCATAATGTATCTGTGTCTTATTTCTTAACTTTACAGCTTTGTTCATTATTTATCTTATAGGTAAAATAGACTATTGCTGTCACTGTACTTTCTTGCCCCTTAGTGGTAATTGTATATGTTCTTGGTTTGGAATAATGCCAGTTCTCCCATTTCTGCTGATTGATAATTTTTTTTTTTTTTTTTTTTTTTTTAGCACTCACCTTATTCGCTACCACAATAGCACCCTCCATGGGGCCTGCTCCCTCCCGAATCTCGAGACCCATTCCCGAGTCAGACTCTGTGGCAGCTACCGCTTCTTGCGGAGTCGACTGTATTCATTTGATCCTCAGACCAAGCTCTTTTTGCCACAAGGTAGCCGGGCCATAGACCACGTCCTCCAACCCAAACAAATGTCCCAAACCTGTAATCTCCCTTCCCTCAGGTCCACAGCACATAACCTTCTACAAAACTCACAAGGTCTCTCAGCCAATCTTGTGCTGCCCAGTTCAAACTCTGAACCTCTGAAACCCGTCCCTTCCCCCTTCCCATCTCTTCAGCCTCCTCTCTCTCATCCTCACCTCCCTCCACATTCACCAAAATATCATTATTGCATGTTTCTCTCTAAGTTCCTCATTTTTAACCCACAGTCAGTATTTTCTTCCCTTCTTACATTTCAAAATGTTTTTCAGTCATGCATTTTTCCTCAGGCATTTCACCTCACTATCACACCTCAACAGCTCTCCAGCCTCCCAAGCTCACAATCCATTCTCTTCTTCCCTCCTTCCTAACCAAGCTCTCTCCTTCTCTCCTCTCTTTCTCGCCTCCTTTTCCTCTCTCTTTCCTCTCTCTTCTCTTCTCTCAATGTTCTTGCAAATCACCATTTACCCTCTCAATCAAATTCTTCTCTTTGTAAGCTCCAGCCTCTCTTCTTTGCAATCTCCACAACCTCCTCTCTTTCAACACCTCACTCTCAGAATCTTTTTGCCCTCATCTCCTGTTCTCTCACCTCTTTCTTCTTCTTCCTCTCCTTCTCCTCCGCAATCAACAGTAAAGCTAAATAAAATCACGCACTTCCATTGTGCTAGTCGTCTTCTCTTGCATCACTTCTTCTCTCTCCTCTTCCTACATCCAGCCCATCCATCTCCTTTCCTTCCTCTCTCTTTTACACACTCATCAGCTCCTAAAACTCTGCAGCTCTTTCTCTCTCCTCTCCAAAATCACCCTTTCTCTCCCTCCCTAATCTTCTCTATTCTTCCTCTTCTCTCGCCTATTCTCTCTCTCTCTCTCTCTTCCTCTGCCTCATCCTGTTCCTAATCCTCTTCTTCTCAAAATCATTTGCGCTCTTCAAATCACCTAAAAGCATTAAATGGATCGTGCCATCCTTCTCTGTCACTGTCCTGTCTTCTTTGTTCTCCTGGTATACTTCAGTCTGCATCTTTTATATTCAAAGTTCCTTCTTAACTTCCTTGCTTTCAAATACGTTTGTCTCATAGTAAAACAGTTTTTAAAAAAAAAAAGCAAACACGGGATATCCTTTCTTGACTCTTCCTTTACTCGAAAACTTCTGAAAAAATAGTCCACATATACGGGTTCAACTTTACCACTACCATGCTTTTTTGCTTCTCAAATACCATTTATTGTCAGCCCACACCATCAATTTTGTGACTGGCTTTAGGGAATAAAGAAATTCATTTCAGGCACCTCTGTTGATTATAAGATACAGCCTGATTTCAGAAGTATTAATGTATGAAAAGAAATCAAGGAAATACATCAATTTGCTAAATCCAGTGTAAGTTATTTATTGGTCGTTGAAGCATTTGACACATTGACCACCTGCTTTTATTTCTTTTGGAACATCCCTGATGTTGCTACCTGATTGTCTTCCTGTCTTGCAGCAGCTTATTTTCCTTCTCTTTACTGTGTTAGTGCCATGTTCTAATTTTTGACCTTGTGCTGCTTCTCATTTTCCACATTTGCTGGGCAATATCATACATTGAAGTTAATTGTCATTGCTGTATAGATGACTTTCCAGATCCTGTTAGATCTTTCCCTAGAGCTCAAACTTGGTGTATCTCAAAATCATCATCTCACCCTTAGTCCTCCCAGGCCTAACAGTTTCTCTTGACTCAGAAATCTTAGTATTTTTGAGATTGACGTTCATTTCTGGTCTCTTCATCTTGTCGTTTTCAAGACTCTTATCAAATTTTTTAGTAGTCGTACAGTTGTCCTGTTATTGTAATACATTGCTGAAAACTGAAGCAGTTCATAACAAATATTTATTATAGAGTTTTTCTGAGAGTCAGAATCTGAGAACGCTCAACTATGTGGTTGTAGTTCAGGATCTCCCACAAGGCTGCAGTCAAATGAGGTCATTGGAGCTGGAGAATACAGTTCCAAGCTCACTCACATGGTTGTTTCTTGATGGCTCCATGAGACGCTTAAAACAGGGTCCTGGCTTTCCCAAGAGCAAGAGAGAGAGCATCAAGATATTACGCTCCACCTGTCTTTTATAGCCTAATCTCAGAAGTGACATCTCATCTGCTGTCTATTCATTGCATGGACCAACCGGTACAATGTGAGGAGACTATAGAGGATCCCCAGGAGCTGGGGATCACAGGGCCACCTTGAGCTGGCTTCCACAGTATTTCCCAGGAATTTATTTTTTTGTTTTGTCTCCCTTGGTCAGTCTCAAAGGACTTTAATGGTTGGAGTGTTGCTGTGTGGTGCCAGCTAGCATGCTCCCATTCCATCTTCAGAGGTGACTTTCCCTTAGGCACTAC